ACCCCCCCACCCCATTTGTGCTTCTGCTCCCAGCTCCTCCTTTGATTAACATATTTGACCTGCAGTACTTTATTTGCTAATTATTGGGCTCCCTTTCTGTTTTCCTCTAAGAGAAATTCTTAATAGAAGCCACATCACTGCACCACCTGGGGCTTTTTCTTTGCCCCAGTGGAGACGGCTTCCCTTCCTGCCCTTTACAGCCTCCACGGTCCTAGTCACTTAGTCTTTTGCCCTAGGTTCCTGGTCCTCCCCTCCTCCCCTTTCCTCTTCCCTCCCCCACACTGCCTCGATCACCACTGACTGCCTCTTTTTTTTAAAAAATATATTTTTATTGATTTCAGAGAGAGGAAAGGAGAGGGAGAGATAGCAACATCAATGATGAGAGAGTCATTGATCGGCCACCCCCCCGCAAGACCCCAACTGGAGATTGGCCTGCAACCTGGGCATGTGCCCTGACCAGGAATCGAACCCCGATCACCTGGATCCTAGGTTGACGCTCAACCACTGAGCCATGCCCTGCTGGGCACTGCCTCTTCTTAAATTTCAGTGCCTTTAGCTCCTTTGACTCTCCTGGGCTTTTCCTTTCCTCTTGGGATTGCATTTCGGAGTCATATTCCTGGTTGAATTGTTGACATTTCATTATTTTTATTTGAATATGGAAATTTTAAATTTTATTAGATACTATGACTTTAGTTTAAAATGATTTCTTTTTCTTCTTTTAGCTTTTTCTGAAGGCTCCTGTGAACACTGCAGAACTAACAGATCTATTAATTCAACAGAACCATATCGGGAGTGTGATTAAGGTAAGCTGGCAGTTGCACTCATTCTGAGTAAATTAGTTCTTGATTCTGGCAAGTTCCTCCTTCCGGCCGGAAGCTTCCGTTGGAAAGAAGGCTTACTGGAGGCAGGGATAGTTGGTGCGTGAGATCAGTGGCAGAGCCTGCAAAGGAGACCCTGAGGAGTGGCCAGGAGAGAAAAGCAGCAGCAGGAGAGTAGTGTCACGCACAGCAAGGGCAGGGGGCGTCAGGAGGAGAGACCAAGACTTGGTTATCCTGCGTCTGCCGCTTGTCGTTCTGTGGCTCTTGATGCTCTGCTGTTGCCTAACACACTGCCCCACCCTTTGTGTCCTACAATAGTGACCGTCGTCTGTTCAGCTCTCAGATCTGTAATTTGGACTGAGCTCAGTGCGGACAGCTCTTATTTGCTTCATATTACAGCGGGGGGACGGTTAGCGAGGGTCCTGATAGACTTCAAGGTCAGTCACTCACGTGACTGGCACGATAGTGCTGGCTGTCCGTTGGGAGCCCAGCTGGAACTGTGGGCTAGGGGCCTCAGTTCCTCTCAGTGTGGGCCTCTCTACACATTGGGGGGTCCCAGGAGCAAGCAGCCAAAAGAACTGGGTTGGGGGGTGTGCAAAGCATTTTATGAAACAGCATCGTGTTCACCGCTGGGTTGGTCAGCAGACATGACTCTCTACGCAGGTTCAGGGGAGGTTGCAGAGACCCCACCTCTCAATGAGGGGAGTGTCTGGGTCACTGTCAGAAGAGCTGGGATAGGAGATGTCATTGCAGCCATCGGTGGAAGGCATAGTCTGCCACTGTGAATGGGTGATGCATGTACCCACCTCGCAGGGTGGGAGGTGGACAGAGTGAGTAGTTGAGTGTAAAGGGCTCAGAGCTCTGTGGCCTATGGCATATGCTGTACACGGGGAGTGTCACTGTGGCCATGCTCCTGTTCCCAGCCCGTTGTCCAGCTTATCGTAAAAAACAGGCGCACTTCGGTCTAATGTTCCTTTCTCACCTGCAGCCATCTCACTTTGTTTTCTTGAAAAATTGTTTGTATTCAGTCTCCACCTCCTCTCCTCCTAAACACCTTAATCTGGCTTTACTACCTCCAACAAGCCACTGAACTTCTGAAACTGTACGAGCATCACCAACATCTTGTTACTGAATTCAAGGGTAGTTTTCAGAACTTGGACAGTATCCGTGACGTTGTGACAGCAACTGCAGAGAGTGAGGAGTAACACCTTTGGCAGCTTCCTCTTACTAGAGCAGTGGGAGGAGAGCACCTGCTTTCATCATACAGGCACCTCAGCTGGCTGGGTCCTGAGACCTGTGGGTACTAGAGAGGACAGTCGTTTTGTCCTTGAAAGACCTCATTCTGATGTACTGGGGATTCCGCCTTCACTTGGGTGATCACACAGATAACTCTACAATTGTGGCTTCCTAGGCTTCCATAGCGACACTTGAGTGTCCCAGGGAGAGACTTCTTGTTCCTAGGAGAGGGACTGCCCAGAGCTTTCTCTGGCATCTTTGGACTGGATTTGGACTGTTCTGAAGAAGGCACTCCGAGGGCTGTGAGGGAAAGGCAGGGAGAATTGAGTGCACGTGCGTGGTGTGGGTTGCAAGGCTTCAGGACGGGGGTGAGATGTGATGTGAGGCGTGGCTCAGGTACTTAGGTACTACAGAAGAGGCTTAGGAGAGTTGAGGGACAGCAGGGGAGTCGGCCAGAGATGGTCGAGTAGGGGAGAGGCAGGTGGTTGTGGATGAGATGTGATGTGAGGGTGACCCCAGCCCCATGGAGAAGCAGCCCCTATGTGCTGCTGCCTTGACGGTTGATGGCTCGTCAAGGAGAGGAATGGTGAGCAGTTCTGGAGATGCTAATTGCTTGTGAGCCATGTGACCATTTGGGGATTTCTTAGGGCTTCACTCTGAGAGTTCTCTTTTGCTGCACAGGTTTTGCTGCAGTAAGAGGGGTCCTCCAGGGTGTAGGGAGATGGTGATGATGGTCCTGGAGGACTGGCTGAGGTATTAGCTGTTCTGGGTTTATAATATGTTGAGAATCTAGTAAAGAAATGTCTTAAGAACTTAGTATAGATCGGCTGGGCGTGGCTCAGCGGTTGAGCGTCGACCTGGGATCCAGGCGATCGGGGTTTGATTCCCGGTCAGAACACATGCCCGGTTGCGGGCTTGATCAATGACTCTCTCATCATTGATGTTTCTACCTCTCTCTCGCCTTCTCCTTTACTCTCTCTGAAATCAATAAAGATACATAAAAAAACCCCATTTTCTATAAAAAAAGAAAAAAAAGAACTTAGTATAAATAAATTTAGGGCAGGAGGAGGTCTTGCAGAACCTGGACTGAGGCAGGGAACCTCGGGAGGCACAGGGATACGGACGAGGCCACATGCTGGGGCTGGGCAGCGCATGATGGTGCGGTTTGTGTGTGAAAAGGCTAATGAGGCCCAGATTCCAAGGCCTGCTATTATATTTCTTCCTAACCAAATATAAATGGAAACTATTTTTCTTTTTAAAACAGCAAACGGCTGTTTCAGAAGACAGTGATGACGACATGGATGAAGAGGAGATTTTTGGTTTCATAAGTCTCCTAAACTTAACTGAAAGAAAGGTTGGTTCCGTGGGGCACCTGCATGGTTTTTCCTGTTTAACGCCTGTGAAGTGTCTGTCAGGTCGTGACGGCAGGGATAGGGCCTGTGCGCCTGTGAAGTCTCATTGTAGCCCTTGGTTTTGTTTTGTCTAATGTGCACCCAGTTGATGTCTCCACCCCCCGTATAGGGAGTCCCCGTGGGGCAGGTGCTGTGGTGCCGGCGTTGGCACGGGAGCTGCCTGTGCTGCCTCAGCAGCTGCTCCCGAGGGTCCGCGCTGCTTCCTGAGTGGAGGGCGCGTGCTGACATTCACTTGTGTTTTCACTCATCAATTGTATTACTAATGAGTTCCAATAAAGAGTAAAAACCAGCTGCTTACCGTCTTCATATAAGATGCAGGCTGCACTTCAGTTTCTAAATGAACTTCCAGTTCCTTCCATCAGTCTTTATGAGATGGACTAGAGTTGCTCTTTTGGTGTCCTGTCACTGTAACCCTCCCACCACCAGTCACGGATGGTATTAAAACCATAGTTATGCTGAGAAATACTGAGGCAGCCACCACTGAAGATGGAAGATTTTAAAGGCTCTGACAGGAAGCCGCCCTCACCTGTAAGATACAAAGTACTGGTTCTCACTTTCAGGTCTCCTCTGTGGGTGATGACCTGTAACAAGAAGCTACTTCTCTCTGCTTTCTAGGGGACCCAGTGTGCTGAACAAATTAAAGAGTTGATTCTGAGCTGCTGTGCAAAGAACTGTGACAAGAGCGTGGTTGAGCAGCTGGACAAGCTCTTGAATGACGCCACCAGGCCCGTGGGCTTCCTCCTAAGTGAACGATTCATCAACGTCCCCCCACAGATTGCTCTGCCCATGCACCAGCAACTCCAGTAAGTGACTTTGAAAATGCCTCGAACTGTGTTCTCTCCCGAGTGGATTCAGAAGTGTGATTAAGTGGTGTTGGTAGAGCCCTGTCCTGGTCTGAGCAGCGGTGTGGGGTGGGGGTGAAGGTGGAGGACACGCCCTGTGCGTTGCAGGCATCCTTTGTAATCGGCTTGGTGAAGTTTCAGTTATTGTTTGAGGGTAGTTTTTATCGCGCGCTCTACTGCCAGTCAACGTAAAACATATAAATGTTTCCCGCATACAATGTGTTAAGAGTATTCTGACAGTAGTCTTCGTAGTCTTAAAGTACTTAAGTGGCATAAAACTAGAAGAGTTTTATGTATACTTCTTACTCCTATTTGACCAGTTTTTCACCCTCTTCCCAGGTACGTTTCTGTAATTACAACAGTAACAAAAACTGAGTGAAATTCCTAAATCCTATTGGGATGTTTTATGACCAATGAAACCATCCTCTTGATACCACATTTCTGGCTTCTCAGGGTTTGCTGTGTTTTTAAATGCAGTTTCAAGTTTACAAAAATATTTTAAATGCAAGAAGAGCTAAGAGTTGGTATTGTGCTTTGAAACAGAGGAGTACGCACATACAAGACAGGCCCCGCCCTGACGGCTGTGTTTTTCAGGCCTCGGCACTGGTACTGTGGTTTCCCTTTGTGGGAATGGGACCGTAGGCCCGAAACATTTCGGTTTCCCATCTTTACGGATTCATTGCTTTTTACTTTTACACCCCGACCCTCCAGTTGCTACTCGTATTGTACTTCTGGTGCCGCAGTGGTTTTTGTTTTGCGTTGTCTTTTTCTTGACCAGCTGGTGTTTATTTGGTTTCACAAGAGGGTCACCTGCCTCCTACTGACCCTCTAGTAAAGAACCTGAAGTGGTCTGTTGCGAGTTTCCTTACGTTTTTTGTGTAGCCAAGTGCACAGGATTATATACACTTAACAGAAGGAAAAATCAAGGCTTCATTGCTGTTGTGCCGACTGGTGTAGAAGTTAGGGTGTCTGTGCCTTTCCGTGCCATTTCTGCAGCAGGTGAGAAATTAGTTGTGTTTTAAAAATCCAGATTGTTAGTATTTTTAACTTGTACACAGAGCAGTGATGTTGAGTGAATGAGACTCATCTGTTAGTTGTATCCGCAACTTGGCGCCTAATCTGTGAGATTCATCCTACTATTTATTATAAAAAGCACTGCTGTAATCAGTCAAAAGTGCAGCAGACGGCAAAACAGACTCTGCTTTAGAAGTGTCCAGACCTGACATCTACGCATTCAGCCTGTGCCACAACAGAACCACTGCAGGCCTCCCTGGTGTTCCCTGGGCTTTGGTTTGTTGATGGGTTGATTTCACCTGGCCCAGCAGCAGACCTGTGTGCATGTGTGTGCCTTGTAGGAAAGAACTGGCGGAGGCACACAGGACTAACAAGCCGTGTGGGAAGTGTTACTTCTACCTTCTGATTAGCAAGACATTTGTGGAAGCAGGAAAAAGCAATTCCAAAAAGAAGAGCAGCCAAAGGAAAGCTGAGTTAATGTTTGCAAATGCAGAGGAAGAATTTTTCTACGAGGTAAGATTGTGCCACCTGTTTAGGTGGAACCTCAGTTCTCGAACGTGTCCCATCTCAAATAATTCAGTTCTCGAACCGGCAGCCCTTTCATGCTGATATGTTCAGTCACGCATCACTTGGGATAAACAGAGGAGAGAATTTGAGTCAGTTTACTGCTAAACCTTGCTTTGTTAACATCTCAGGAAATTGTGTTGGGAATATTTTTGTGGCTTTTTGCTTTTGTTGCTGATTTGGTTTGTGAACAAATTGCTTCTTGAACAGCCTTCCAGAATGAATTAAGTTCGAGGACTGAGGTTCTACTGTATGTAGGGATTTTCTTGACAATAATAAGTCAGGATTTATTGCTCTCCCATTTTGTGTCAAAACCTTCTGAGTGTGACCACTGTTTTTTCTCTGTATCCCCAGCTGCTAGCAGCTAGCACAGTGCCTGGCATGCACTAAGTTCCTGACAGGTGGTCCCCGGCTCCCCGCCCCCACTGTGGTGATGAGCGTGGGAGACGGCAGGTGAACCTGCTCATAGGGATCAGGTGTCGACTGCGTTTGGAGAGTGCAGTTCCCACCCACTCTGGGAGGGGGACAGTGGCCTGGGTTCACAGGCGGGACGTGCGTCTGAGATCGCAGCCTGTTGGGCGCACCCATGCTCTCCTGTCCCTCTCTGGCTCATGTGCCGCTCTGTGCCCTCTTCCGGATGCCGCCCCATTGGTGGCTTCCAGCACTTCCTTCCTGTAGAGGTGGCTGTGCCGTGAGGGACAGCCAGGCACCAGAGAGTCGTTCCTCGCGCTGCCCTCTCAGGTCCGTCTGCAAGGGGTGCACACTCCCCCGCAACGGGTGACACCACTTGCTTCTGAGGACTTCCACTAAGGACTCACAGCACTTCTGATTTTTTCAGGAAATTTATAAAGTTTATGCCTCAGCACCCCGGGGAGACCATTTGGGGGAAATGCATGTGGGTGTTTGAAGATGGCTCGCTGTGCAAGCTCCCCTTCGTCACACAGCAGCTTCACGCTGAGGAGGCAGCTGGGACAGTGGGGAGACTAGCATTTGGAGTCGTCCCGTTGGCTGTCCTGGTTTGTGCATGTTACTGTCACTGCCTGTCACAAGATTATGGATGTGAACGATTTCAGAATTATACAGTGTGTGAGTGAGTAGCGTGTTAGCGTCACCTGGCTGCTTCCTCGCCTCGTGGAACCGGGCACTCCGCCCGTGCTCCCTGTGGAGGGGCAGGCCTGTGCTGATTGTTGCCTTCTGCCTGGGGGTCCACTCGAGCTGCTTTTATTCTGCATGTTGCTTCCTTCAGCTGCTGTTCTCATGTAAATGTGTCAAACATAATGTTGTCGATTGAGTTTTACATTTACGGTTTGTTATGTGGTTTAGAAGGCAGTCCTGAGGTTCAGCTACTCGGTGCAGGAGGAGAGCGACACATGTCTGGGCGGCAGGTGGTCCTTTGACGACGTCCCAATGAAGCCCCTGCGAACTGTGATGCTGGTTCCGTGTGACAAGATGAGTGAAATCATGGACGAACTGAGGAAACATCTGTCTGTCTAGCCCATTCCCCATGGACAGGGGTGCGCTTGTTTCTGTAAAATTACCAGAAACCCAGTGTTGTTTTACTGAAAAACTCATGACTTTATTTAGATTCAGGTCCTCTACAAAAAGTAGGGTTCTGTTGCCCGTGTCTGTGACACATTTACAAAATATCGTTTAAAAAACTTTTGGTCAGGTCACGAGTGGTTGATGAAAAACCTTCCCAATAAGACAAACGTGAAGGAGTAATTTAAAGAACTCAATAAAAACTTCTAATTTTTATTTTTAAATAATGTACAAAGTGTTAGTTTTCAAGACTCCAGTGCGGGGTCTGAGGTCCGCCCCCACATCGAGTCCAGTTGCTGCACCAGCTCCGGGCCACCCATAGGCTGGCTCAGGGTTTATTGCACGTGGCGCTCTAGGTGGTCCTGACGTGTCACTGCAGGGCGCACCTTTGTTCAGTAGTTTCAGGGCACTTCTCACACGTCGTCTGCTCCCCTTTCATTGTGGGAACGGGTGATAGGTGGTCCATTGCTTGCTGCAGAATATCCTTACTCTCACTGGGAGGCAGGTTGCTGAAGTAGTATTGTGGTGCCAGCTGCACGAACCTGTTTGTTGAAAACAAAAGCATTGATTCCTGGTGTGAGATACCACACGTGTCCGAGCCCAGCCCAGGAGAATCCACCTGTGAGACTGGCATTTAACTTGAGCTCCTCCATGTCTTAGTCTGATGTGCCAGTGTAGGATATCACTGGTTACAGTTTTTATGGAACCAACCCAAGTGCATCTCTAGGATCAGCTGGATTCTTTACTGTTAGGCCACAGAGTGGAAGTGATGGCCACCACTGACCCCCAGGGACACTGGTACTTCCCCTCAGACCCGTCACATACATGAAGGATCAGATCAGATGCTTGGGAGAACTCTGGGTGGGTGAGAGAGGTCTTTGTTTCTTTGTCTTAACTAAAACCACTCCCCATCCAGCTGCCGAAGCCGGAAAGCCATTGCTTTCTCTTGGTTCCTTCCTAGAACATCGTTCTGCCCAAGCAGTAGAGGTACCTTCAGAACGGACCCCGCATCTGCAATAGCCTCTGAGATACCAGTTTTCATTCTCACCACTACCCCTCCAAACCCATTCACCTGGCAGCCAGAGTGACCTTCAAAAGTATATGGAGAATATGTCCTCAGCCTCCCTCCTCCCCTCCCCACTAGCTCAGTCTCAGTGGCTCATCTGCTGAGAGATGGCTGAACTCGTTCCTTCTCAAGGTCTGCACCTGCCGACACCACCTCTGCAGCATTTCATCCCTGGGAAGGTGCATCGTGCTTTGCTTAATGTTTCTGTAACTTGGTCTCTATGCTGTAACCTCAAAGGCAGGACCGCCTCTTAGATAACCCCTCGGGGGGACCTGTCTTCAGACTGCTACCAGTATAAATTCCTTGTAACTGAACATGACGACTCCCGTAGAAACCCTTTTTTGTCCATGAGACGTACAGCTCTGGAGAGGTTTCGGAGGTGATCCTGATGTAGTTGTTCTCAGAGATGCTGAACTTGTGGAAGAGTACCCACTCTGGCGTCTTCCTGCTGATGGAGTAACTGGACAGGGGGTGCAGCTGTGCCACATGCTTGTGTGTCAGCATCAGGTAGTTCCCTGACCCGTCTACATCCCGAGCAATCTAGAGGCAGAATGTCCAGGAGAGATTTTGTATTACTATGGAGATGAACACACAAACGTTCTTGTTTTAATAATTCCAAAGTATGTGGTACAGAACAGGACTATAGAGTGGCCACCCATGTTCCCTATTTTCATGGAAAGAAGTAAGACATAAACTTGTCTTACCCAAAACTTGGAGAGAGTGATGTTGCCTAATTAGGAATTTCAGGGCAGCTGCAATGGTTAATGCTTGGTCGTGAAATGAAGCTACACCGTGGGCCCTACACTCACATGTCCAGTGCTCACACCTCCCGTCTGAGCTTGTCTTCTTGAGAAACCCCGTGACGTCAGGATGAGGAGACCTGTGCCCAAGTGTTGTTTCCTCCACTAAGGCTGCTTTAGGTGATGCGCACGGGGTTTCTCTGCTGTGGTGGGACCTGCACACCTTCTCTGAGGTACTGTAAGTTAGAGGAGCTGGCAGCCTGCCTCTGAGGAGGAACCAGTGAGACACTTTGTTGGGCATTACACCACTGGTTACATGTGAGCAAGTGCACACAGGTGAGGGGAGGGACTGGCTATCTGATGTTCAGCCGAGGAGAGTTTTGCTCACTTCCCTTGGTAATGAAAGATCTTTCGTCCTTCCCGACAAAGTTAACATATTCTGACTTAGCCCTTCATGTGCGAGGACAAGTACATTTAAGTACTAAGTGTTACTAGCATGAGAGTTTGTTTCATTTTAAAGTAAACAGTAAAGCAATCATCCCGAGAGGTTCCTGACAGAACGTCCTGAACAGGAGGTCTCATAAGGACCACAGGAGGGTGGCCTCGTCTGTTCTCACCTGCATGAAGTAGCCAGACAGCAGAGCCTTCTTGATGTTCAGCGTGTTCTCCCGGGAGCCGAACGCGGGCTCGGCGTAGGGAAGCTCGATCCGCTTGATGATTTCCAGGAGTTCAGCTCGGATGACGTCTGCCGTCCTGAGCGCAGCGCAGTTGAGGAAGTAATCGTGGCACCACTTCTCCACACAGTCTAGGCAGGAAGGGAGGGCAGAGGCTGTTTAGAAGTCATGTGCTGTGTCTGAAAGGTTCCGGGTCGGGAAGGTGCTCTGTCCTCTACTCGCCTGTCCTGAGGAGGTCACGTGACTGAGCGTAAGAGACGACAAGGACAGGGACCTCTGGTGGCTGTGAGACTGGCCCTCTGTGGCACTGCCAGGAAGAACCTGCCCTGGCTAAGGGTTCCACAGGGTTCCACAACCCCATGAGCTATGGAGACAGCACGTTCCTAGCGCTGACAGAAAGCCTGAGTCCATGGTTTACCTTGTGTTCACAGCAAGGATGTGCGTGGTGATGTTTAATCAGACCAGGACTGGAAGAGCTTACAGGGAAAGTCCTCTGATCCAGGAAAACATCTCACATAAGAAAAGGATACTTCAGGTGGATTTAGGAGCTACATTACGGTTAAGCCACCCCAGCTGCAAATTTTATACCAGAATTCAGTCACCTGGCTCAGTTCACAGTTACTTTCTTGCCACCTGTCATTACTTAGGGTGGACCAGAGTTTTGCCTTGACCAGCAATGCACATAGCCTTGGGTGGTGGCAGAAGACCCTTGTTGACCTTGTCCTGTCCACAGGCCCATTCGGAGCAACAAGAGCGGGTACTTGGCACCCATCCTGCCAGCTCTTAAAGATGGTGCCAAACTCCTCATGTTCTTTCTGCCCCACTGTTTTTTCTCAGCTTTGAAGATGAACTCCCTGCTCTATACAATTCTACAGCCATCCAAATTGCTCTCACATTTCTCACTTCACATTTTTCACCCATCTTTCGGGGCAAAGGAGGTAAAAGAAGCTTTGTGGAAACAAAGGTGAACTCACCAGATGCCCGGGAGGCCTCCAGCACACTGCTTAGCCCTCTGCCCCTGGAGATCCCTCGTGTCTTAACACCCAGCACAGGAGAAGTTCCCAGCCCCTTGTCACTGAGAACACTCAGGCACACCCAGGACTTCCCATCTGCTTCTATAGACACCATTCTACATGATCTGGACGCCCGTCCCCCTCCCCCCACTCCAGTCTGATTGTTCCCAGCATTGCTCAACACACTGGCCTGTTGAGAGTTATCTGGAGCAGGGTGGTTTGGTTTGGTTTTGCATGTTCCATGCTCTCTGCCCAGCAGTGGCTGTGCCATGTATGGAAAGCACAAAGCATGGCTGTGGCCCAGTGGGCACCCAGAGGAGGCAGTTCCTTTCCTTCTCCCCAGACTGGAGGGGTTAGGAACTGCAGGTCTATCCCTGTGCCATCCTGCCCCAGGCGAGCTCCTGCTGAATGCAGCCGAGCTGAACACTGGGTTCTAAGTCCAAGCTGGCCCTGTAGCCCCGCAGCTGCGCCCCTGCTGCCCCCCTGCTGCCCTCCACAGCTCTGGGAGCAGGAGTGAGTTCCTTCTGTTAACAGAGACCTACAGGTGCATTTAGGGCCTCAAGCATCATTCCACCAAAGTGACCAACAGGGCTAAAGAGAAAGGGTGTTTCACAGGTAGCCACTCAGCTTATTTGGGGAAGGAAAGGTGGGCTTCGTAGGTGATCTCTGGGACTCACAAACATTCACTTACGCTCACTGGTGGAATTCAAAGTCGTGTCTTGGTAGGCCTTGTAAACGTTGATCAGGGTAAAGTGATCGCCTTCAGGATGTAAAAACGTCTTCCAACAAGTCAAGGCAGCTTCCTCAGCTCCACGTGGCAGATGCGAAAAGCAGTTAGGAGCTCGAAGAGGGAAGGTAACAGGACAGCAGAAATGGAGACATTTCAGTTAGCATAGCACTTGGGCTTGGGCACAGTGGTCTGTCTTACTCTGAGAGTACCTCTGTTGCCCTTATTTACTCAGACGTCACAGGGATTTAGGGGGAGCTGTCATAATGCTTTTCTCCTTGGCTTTTCCTAGGTCTGCTTGTAATACCAGCGTGTGTTACAGTGGGAGGGGGGACTGGCTGCTCAGAGGCCAGACGCGGGGGCAGGATTAGAACACAAGTTCTCAAGCAGCACAGCCTTTGGTCTGTCTGCCAGTCAGAGCATAAATTAAAGCATATAAACCAAGAGAAAGTGGCATAGGAAATAAACCACACACACACACACATCGTTTGGGGAAGAGCACGTCTAGTGACACGTTTTCTTCATTTTTCTTGATCTGCGCTGACTACTTCAGCACAAACAAACCTGGTATATTTCCACATGTCAGGTTAGGAAAGTCACTCGGTATGATTTAGATTTTTCATATTAAGATAATTGTTCTAATTTTCTACCTTTTTCATCTATTAAAATATTTCACTTCAAACGGATCTCATCTAAATCTCTAGCTGGTGCAGATTCACAAAAAAGAACGAGTCCTGCAGAGTACCTGTTACCATGGCCGCGATTGTCAGCATTTCATCTACACAGTCAAATTCACAGGATGCTAAGATAGACTTTGAGAGCTGTGGATCAAGAGGAAACTCAGACATGATGATTCCAAATTCTGACAGATTCCCATCATTGTCCAGTGCTGCCAGGTAGTCTAAGTCTTCCAGAGCCTGCATCAGGCTTTCCGGTGCTGGGGAGGAAAAATCAGAGAGCCTCACACCACCGAGATGGAAAAACAGGTACTGAATTTCCCTCCCAAAATGAACAAAATACATGAATCAACAGTTGGCAAGACAAAGAACACAGGCAGTGAAGGGCTGGCTGATTCCTGAGTGGGGTGAGCCATGTGACTTCCCAGCCTATTGCCCTGAGAATTTCAGGGCTGTGGTGCAGGGCAGGGAACCTGGACGGAGCCTGCAGACTCCCTGAGCTGTGAAGATGGTGCTGCAGGTCTGGAGCCTGCAGGGCACCCAGAGAGAGCTATACAGAGGACTTGGGAGATCTTTGGTCAGCAGAGCACATGTGAGAAACGACTGCAGGCCAGACAGCCATCCAGAGGACCAGAGGGTAGGGCCCGGTGCCATACAGGACCTCGACTGGACAGGCTTGTCCAAGTCTGTCTAGGTGCCACAGCCTGTCCAGGTAGAAGACCTCTGAGCCCGTTTTCACACAGTGCTCAGCTGGTACTGAGCTCCCTGACCCTGATCAGCAGTGACTATCACTCATGATGGATCAGTCCTCAGCACCAGGCAAGGAAAAAATAACATTTTATTTTATAGAGATCTACATTAAAATCTAAGTTCAATTAATAGCCTGCAGCCTCGTTATGCGAAGTCATTTCCTCATGGTTCACGAACCCTGAAAAGGGACCGGTTTTGCTGGGTCTGCGTGTTTCATTTATGAGCTGAACTAAACGCAGCAGCTGCCAGCATCATCTGTTCTTTTACTTCCAAAGTAATGAGTCAGAATTAACCCAGTTACATTTCCACCCAAGCACAGCAGGAAATAGTTACATGCAGACTATTAGGAGACAGAAATAAACTGTTACCCTGACCCTCTGTCCCCATTGGTCAGCTAAGCCTCACTGAGGGTGACCACTGAGAACAGGAATTCTGCACTGTGATGGTTTGCTGTTGGCTCTTCCAAATCTTGCCATTACAAATCCTGCTTTTCTCCCCTCATGAGCAAACATCTGCTAGATCCTAAATAAGATGCCTGGGGAGTTAATTTAATGATGAAGGACTGACTTCTAGCGGATGTCCAGGTGATAGTGTGATTCAGGAGGAAGCCAGTCACTGACTGTTCCCAGCTGTGAGGCACCTTTACTCTGGTTCCAGCCCCCACTTTCACACTCCCGTCACTCCTGACTCAGTTCTGAGGGCCCGGCTCCCTACGTAGGCTCAAGTGTCCAATGGCAGGCAGCTTCCCAGTGTCACACAGGTATTCCCCAGGGTGTTTCATTACTTCAGAGACTTAGCCTCAACAGGGAAGATGCTGCAGCACAAACCGAATCCCACTCTTGCTCGCACTGCCAAGTCCAGAAGCCAAGACCAGCCCCACCCCGATCCCCTGTGCCCCTCCAACCCCGGTGCCCACAGCTACCTGGTCTGGTCATGAAGTCACAGTGGCCTAAGCCAGCGATGTCGACCCTCTTCAGGAAAAGCACTGTGCTTGTCAGGTTGGCCTCTTGCATTTCTGCTGGCTTAAGGGGCCGCATGTCTTTGGAGGCAAATTCTTCAGAGTATAGACAGAAGAGTTTTCCTGGAAGAAACCGGGGAGGTGGCTTTATCGTCTGTGTGCCTGTGGACAGGAGTTCCCACCGGCCAGTGTTTGTGTCCGCAGTGCTACCTGAGGACGAGCCGAGGATCTGCTTGCGTGTTTCTGCTTGGCTCTGGCTGATGGGCTGCCTGACCAGCGAGCTTGCCCGGATGCGAGGGTTGTACACCTGTGTGTGGAAAGAGCATCTTTAGCATCAGCTCCCGTCATGAAATTCCCTGCTGCAGGCTCATTCTCTGTACTGTGTTTACTGTGGCTTCACCTGTCCTGAGATGGAAACTCCAGGAGCTTGGATAAGTGGATTTAAAGGCTGTCTGCTTTCACTGTAGCTTCAATAAATATGGGACCTCGATCACCTGCTGAAATACTAGTGCTGTCTCAAGCACGGCACTGGTGACAGGTACTCAGAAGCCACATGGAGAGAAGAACTGTCACCTGGCAGTGCTGTGTCTCATCAAGGTTCTATTCAAATCAAGCATGAACTTGTGGTCTCACCTTCATACCTATACTGACCTTTCCCATCATGTCAGCAGCTATGGAAACTGCAGACGGCACTGATTTCTCTTAGGGGGAAGTGATAACCCTGGGCTCCCTGGATGGGGACTGATTCAACAAGATGCACCCCGACTATGCCCAGGGGGCCTGCCCGATGGCTGTGAGACAGGATGCTCAGGACACCTGCAGTTTCCTGGAAGAATGAAAGCCACACGACATCTAATAATGGTAAACGATCAACACTTGGTAGGTTCTTTTCAGCTGGAAAATGCCGTGATTTAGGTTCCATTTTTTCGAGACTGAGATACCCTGTACCATTTTTCCTATTTTTTTTTAAAAAGGTAGTTATAAAAAATAGTCTTCAGAAATTTAGGATGGAATCTTATGTCAGTTATAAAGCAAAAATCTGCTAAAACTGAAGTCAGTGTACTTGAAACTAATTTCTACTAAATTACCTGAGGGAAGACGCTAATTACTTTGATAAAGGGTTTACCAAAAATACTGAGTAGTACAAAAATGTTCAGGAGTCAAACAGTTTGCTAAAGAGAAAACACAAGAACCTGCACCTTATGTGTCAATTGTGTCTTTTCTCAGAACTTCCTCTGGCGCCTCCATCAGTTTAGTTTGTTTCCAGACCACACCCGTGCTCATGAAGGGCAGTGATCAAGGCTCCCATTCCCGGCCGCAGTCAGTCACTCTGCACCCAGCACACAGAGAATCCCCATCTCATGGAGTCTGTCCTCACCCTCTGGTCAAGAAAAGGGTAGGAACCCGAGAAACTGACTCTTGACGATTACAGCTGTTAAGCTGTCTGGGAACAGTTACCTTTCTTCTTTCCATGCCCACATCAATCACAAATCTGACGGTGCTGCTCCAGATCAAGGACTCCCCGGAGCTGGCCGTCAGCACCACTCGCCGCTGGTAAACTTGGCATCTGTCTGTCTCGTCGTTTGGCTTGAACAGCGCACATTTCTCTCTCGGATATAAAGGAACCACCACCAGCTCGCCAAGGTCTGGGTTAGGGTTAGAGCCTTCTCGACAGACGATTTCATAGGCCTTTTCAATATCCTAAAGTACATGGTAACACCATCCATGAGAATATAGTACATTACAAACACCTTCACCACTTAAAGTCCAAATTAAGTAAAACCATAGGCAAAATCTGTAGAGTGGCCACAGGGAGGGGAACACCTGTGTTGTCTGTATCATTAACACAACAAGAGCACATAACCAGTGGGAACATTTCTTTGGGGAAGATAATTTACAAACAGTTGCATTGCTTTTAGTCCAAGATTGTTTTCCTCTGAAATGCACCACCTTTGCCTTTACGCATTTACCCTATTTTTCTAGCTTGATGCAGATTGTGAAGGCTCCTAGAGTCAGAGGAGCAGAGAGAGAAGGTGGGCCAGGATAGCTGCAATAAAATATGCATCCCCAAATGGCCCATGATTGTAAAAGCAGTGACAGAGGCTCAGTTACACATTCCCAGTTCTTTTGAAAAGGCAGTTTCAAGATTTCAAGTTAAAATTTTTCTCCATCTTACTAAGAACTGGAGCCCCAGTGTCAGACCACCTTCTGGGTGTGTTATAAATTGCATTTTTCCACCTAATACTCCACTGGCTAGGAACTTTGTGGGGTCATTTGCATTTATTAACTCTATGCCACGTACTTAGGTTATATTCCTCATCTCCAACAAATGCTCCTGACTGGAGGGCAGCAGGGAGAGCTCTGAATCGGGTGTCTTTTCACTGAGACAAGTCAGGGCAATGTGACAGCTCCAGCTCTGCTCTCTGGGGGCCCACAATTGGCCTGAGCTGGGGGAGGGAGTCAGCTTGGGAGATCAGTTCTGTGGACCTGGAAGACGCCTCATCCAGTCTTGTTTTCTGAGCAGCACGCAGTTTTAGAAACGCTTCCTTTCCAGCTCAGATTTTATTTACCTGTTTGCATTTCTTCCAAAGTACAGAAACTGAGGTGTGGTGTAACCAAATATTTACAGTTTATTAGCAAATTGAAACCGGTGTGTTAGTCATGAAAAGCTCCCGGCAAGGTTAAAGGGTTTCCAATAAGGAGCCTTTTCTCGTTAGAATGTTACTTACTTGTTCACAGGCCAAAAAGACGACAATGTCACCCTTCTCACCAGAGTGGTGAATTTCAAAGATAAGGCGCAGAATAGACTCAAAGGACTCCTCCTGGGCCCCGCTCAGGTACACGACCTCCACAGGATGCGTGTGCTTCACCTCCACAAGGGGCACGTCCCCGTAGTGTGAGCTGAGCTTGCTGAGCAGGGGCGGCGAGGTGTTGATCACCAGCTTCAGCTCGGGTCTGGCCAGCAGCACACCCTTAAGAAGCCCGAGCAGCACATCGGTCGCGATGCTCCTTTCCTGAATGTCGTCTAAGATGATGACCCCATAGCTGCCCAGAAAGGGGTTGGACATCATTTCCCTCTGCAGCATATCATCAGTACAGTACCTACGAAGAAGAGACACTACAGTTGGAATACTCGTGTGAGATCATACAAAACGTCCAGAGGACAACACAAATGCCCTCCTTATCCTGCTCGCCTAAGTCAGGACCTCCAAACCTCTACTGGGCCAAGATTCCTTCAAGTGGGTAAAATCTACAGACCTTCAGGACCGCAGTACATGTAAGCAAATTTTAAATGTTTACACACGTCCATAGACCCCTGAAGACCAGCTCTGGACCCCAGGTCAAAGGCCTCTGCCCTAAATGTTTACTGCAGGTCTGAACAAGAGCCACACTGAACATCCACTCTGAGCTCTCAAAACAAAAAAGTAAAACACCTGCTGGGTAAGCATTTCCCCTCTGTCATCCTCGGAAGAATTCTGAGTCGGAGCAGACACTCCTCGAGGGAAGGGTACAAGAAGGATTACCCGGCTCAGGCGCTCGGCTGGAGGACACTGCGCCTGTCGGTGATGCACTGTGGGAAATGAAATGGCAGTGCCAACATGTTGCGGCAGCAAGTTCGAAACGTTGCCCAAACAATAACCAAACAAGCGTCGAAAATGTAATCACCTGTTTGAGGGCAGCAGGTGAATGGGTCAGCATCACTAAGGGGTCATTAGTGGCTTTAACAAAATTTCCTGGAGTCTTGGGATTATAATTTTAAAATGGCATTTGGTAACCTAGATTTGGGAGGGTTCTCATGGTCCCCAGGACTGACAGGGTGGCTTGTGGTGCTTATTCTTTGCACAAACAGTGTGCATCTGGCTGTCCTGGGGGTCATGGTAGTCAGAGGGTGCCTGTGTGACCAGCCCCAGGAAGCACCCTGGGCATGGAGCCTCTCATCAGCTTCCCTGGTGGGACGACACATGTGGCTGTCATAGCTCACTGCCGGGGAGTGTGTCCTGTGCAAGTCTCCCGGGAGAGGCTCCTGGGAGCTGGCGCCCGGTTTCAGGGGACTCCACCCCACGCACCATCCCCTCGCTGACTGTGTTCGTGCTCACTGCAGTAAACCTGAGCCATAAGTGAACCACATGCTGAGTCCTGAGTCCTGGCAAGTCACCAAACCTGGGGTGCCTGGGGGCCCTGACGCAGTCCTCCATTCCTTTCAAGGAAAAAAAGGAAACAAAGATTTATTAAGCTCCTAGTGTGTGCCAGGCACTGTGTTGGTGTATTTCTCACTTAACCTTCAGAATAAATCTTTAAGGTAGACATTATTATCCCATAGTTATCAATGAGGAGACTCCCAAGAGTACAGTTTGAAAAAAACAGACCTAAACTGCCATGATGAGGGCTGATGTCAGGTTTTGTAGAAGCTCATCAGGGTTTTCTATTTACACTACAGAGGTCAGGGGAGTCCTCCTGGAGTAGGTGACTCTCGCATGGACTTGGAGGAATCAGCCAAGCCCGGAAGAGGCGCAGGCCTAGCAAGCAGAGGGAATGGCTTGTGGCTGCACACAGACAACCCGCAAGGACCCAGCCTGAGGTGCAGCCTGAGAAGCACAGACTCAGGTCTTTGGGGGCCAACCCAGCAGTGGTCCCTTTACATGAGGATTACAGGAGTCACGGGAGAAGTTTAGACAAGGAATCCCCGAGGCCAGTCTGGGAACAGCTAGTTGTGTCAGGCTGGGGACAGAGACTGGTTATTATTACACATTATAGATGCTTAAAACGCAGAATGTGGGAGCACACTCTTCGGTGATTGTGAAACACAAGCCACGAGCCGCGGGCACAGCAGGTGGAAGCCCAGACCCACCTCAGGATGGTCTCGCTGGTGCAGCAGTTTTCAAACGGGATCACGTAGCCGACCTCGTGGCCGATGTTCACGTCCATCTCGTCCGCCACCCGCAGCGCGAGCTGGACGGCGGTCTGCTTGTGCGCCTGGGTGCACACGACGCCCCCGTGCTGGTAGCGGACCGAGAGGCAGTACTCGGCACACCACTGCGGCACCTGCGACGGAAAGGGACAGGTGAGCTCCCGCAGGAAGGCCGCAGCCAGGGCTCCTCTTAAGCGGTTCTTCACCAGTGAGTCACCGGCTTAGTTAGTGAAACTCCGCAGTCTGTGTTCACACAGTTGTCACTGCAAATAAAGGAGGAGTCAGCAGGCGCCTGAGGTCTGAGTCCCAGATGGAAAAGAGGCAGGTAAAAAGAAAAGGCAAAATTTAAAAAAACATCCCCGTGGCTTCCTAAAATATTATGTGTGTTCCATATTAAATAAAAGCATTGTAATAATTCATTTTAAAAGTGACTACATCCAAGAGTCCTTTCCAAAAGGCTTCCAAAGTCTAGATGGCAGTAAAGACGTAAAAATACACGTACTAACTCTAGAACCTAGTCAGAGCCATCCTTCCAAGAGGCCACTTCACGTGTCGCCGAAGCACACCATCCACTTTCACTATAACGTGTGTGCACGCTCAGTCTGGCTATTACGCTAACATCCAGGACGCTGCTTTCCAACCCTGGATCCTCCATGACTGCAGTGATCGTGGGCCATGTTCCCCAGCTCCTGATTGTGGTTTCTGACTGCATTTCATTTATTTGTATTTACTCACGTAAACAGATTCTGCAAGATGAGCCTATTAGAGTAAGTTTATAATGGTTTGACCATCACAGAGGCCTAGCAGGGCAATACATACACCAACCCAAGAGTCTTCATTTCCCCCTTTGCCCTCCTGCGCGACAGAGCAAATTATTTCAAGTATGAGGCAAGGAAATGAACTCAGAAATGGGAACAGCCTTCTAAATATCAGTTAAGCTAACCAGTGGGAAACTGGACACACGCATATTGTGCTTAGTGTAGGGATGCCTGCTGAGCCAAGTAACAGGTAAGCACAAGTCACAACTGATTGCAGAGCCCTGTGAAGTGCTCAGCCACATCCGACACATGCCCGTCAGTAATAGCTGCACAGGGACAACCACCCACAGTGCATGGTGTTAATGCAAATGGAAAAGAGAGGAGAGGAGCATGGCATCGTCTGCCCCGATCCCTGCACATCCCCAGCATTGGCAAACCTGGATCATTGCACAACCTGAGGCTCATCAAAGTGGATGCATCAGCAGCTCAAAGTATTGGCTCAAAAGTAGTGATTCAGCAAATGCTGGAGCGTGAACATCTCGTAATCTCAAGGGACAGTAACAGGACAGCCTCACAGGGAGCCGCTGTGCTCTCTGCACTTAGGACAGTGAAGACCATGGGGTTCTGCGCCAGGATCCTCAGTCTGCTCTGAAAGCAGCTTTCTCTGTCCCCACAGTACCTTACCCTCCTCACCAATGAGTGTGTGCTCAGAGCTCTCCCTCTCCCTCCACAGTTTCTCTTTGCAAGATCCCCCCAACCCCCAGCATGTAGGAAACGTTCTAAGGTGGCACAGTGAGAACTAGGAAGCTTCAGTGGCTGCACCTTTGTAGGAATCAGACAGAAACACCGGATTCTGGGCCACTTTGTGGCTTAAACAGCACTTAGTACTTAGCAAAAGTCATACAATTTGGTGAAAAAAATAGGAAAATGCTCCTTTATCACATGAAAAAAATAAGCCTATTTACAAAGCAGTTTATCTTGGAGTTTTGGCAGTAGACACCCTAATTTACATATATGTAGTCTAGAAACTCTCCCTACGAGAAATCACGATTTTGAATACTCATTCTGAACAGTTTTTTCACGGTCTCTCAATTCTCATTATCAAAGCTGTTTCCCGGACTGTGGGACATGAAAAGGGGTTAAGGCCTGAGCCCCAAAGCCTCCTCACCCCACCTCTGGGGCGTGCGAGGAAGGCGGACAAGTGTGGGCGTGCACAGCAAGCACACCCATCGGGCTTCTCTCCCTCTGGAAAGCCAATCCCCAGGACTCTGGCCAGCCTGCTGCTCTGAGCAGGTGAGGGCCTCCGGGTGACCAGTAAGTATCAGGCCTTATCACTTCAGTAACTTAAGTTCTACAAGTTGTACAAACTCCGAAAACAAAGCAAAGACAGTCCCTTGCCAACTCCAGGTGACAGGCCTGGGGAGTGTCTATTTATATAGACTACATATGTATAAGTTTGGTGTCTACTGCCAAAACTCCAAGATAAATTGCTTTGTAAATAGGCTTATTTTTTTCATGTAATAAAGGAGCATTTTCCCAGGTTCTCAGGTGGGCCTGGTCCAGACCAGAACCACGGGGCAGCAGCAGTGGCATCCTGTACAGTCTCAGTGATGCCACCGTGGGGAGAGCACAGCCATATGCGTGACACTTCCATCCGCTGCTGGAGATCTTCACCTCCTCTATGGACTTCTGACTGGGCGAGGGGAGCCGGCGCGCTGCACTGTCCCATCCCCTAGGCCACAGGCACCCCAGCCTCTTATCTCAGGAGTCTGTCCAGGACCCCCGACTCCTCCACACCCCCGAGCCTGTGGCCAGCGCCAGGGTCCCACTCACTCACTCGCCTCAGTACCAGTCATGGAATCTAACACCTGGAAGGAAGCTTAGGCCCACCAAGCCCCCCCAAAGTGCTCCTGCGGTGCGTGTGCCCGGGCAGCTCCCCAGGCCACCCCACGTGAACTGACAGGTCATGACCTCTTCTGAGTTCAGTGTCACCTCCTGGGCACCACAGTTCCCACTCTCTTGGCATGAAGTGCACACAGGTGGACTCCAGCAGAAAAAGGTGGGCAAGTCCGCTCAGCTGATAAGGTGGAGATGTTCTACAGCGTCTCAACCTAGGCTAAATCCGGTTACACAGGCTCATTCCTCACTAACCCTCCACTTCGGGGGAAATTTCAGGACAAAACCAGTGGGGAGAAGGAAGCAAAATAGACAATGCTAAAAATATGTCATTCTCTTAGGCCTCTTCATAAACCAGTCCCAAAAAAAGGTTAGAGGAAAAGTTCTACAGTTATGAAAGGTGTCCTCTTTTCCGTAAGGTGGCCACAAAATAGCCTTCATTCCATCTGTACCAGAGACAGATGGGACTTTCAGGTCCGGCAGGAACACAGGCCCTCTTGGGAGGCTTGGGCCTGAAGACAGGCTTCTCCTAGAAAGGTTTCAACTCCGAGGAATGAGAAGGCAGCCTTGGAAGCTCATTCTGAAATCACCAGGTTGTTTCCAGAATTAAGAAAACAGCCAATGCTCCCACTGTTGAAATTAGTTTAGGATAAGCCCATTTCCTCATAACTTGAACTCTTAATTTCTCCCACCCTGAAGACACATCCTGCCTTTGCACTTCACAGAAATAAGCATGATTTATTAAAATCACAGGAAAGTTTAAAATGACAACAGAACCATTGCAGGGCATTGATACATGTTACACAATATATATCTAATCCTTGCCCTTAAAGATCACACATTCCACAAGAGGCTCAAGGAGTGTATATTTAAAACCTTGTTCTACAGTAGTTTCGGTCAGCAACTCTGAAACTATGAGTATTCCACAATCGAATGAGGAAAGTATTGTAAAAAACGAGAGCTGGTTTCTCGTAGGTGGGGAAGGGAGTCACACACACGGGAAGGCTAGGTGGGCCCTGCAGTGCTGCCCTGGACCCAGGCACCACCACGAACTCCCGGTGCTAAGAGGCTGCACAGAGGGTAAAGACAGAGATAACAGAGAAATGGAGAGAGAAACACAGAGACGCACAAATAGGGAAAGTTACAGAGGTAGGTAGATAAGTGGGTAGATGTGGACACACACACACATTTCTTTGTCCACTGAGAGGGCCCAGGAGCAGTGATCAGCCAATGGCAGTGGGCAGATTTAGTCCCCAAGTCTTGGTTCCTAAATCCATTTCTCCACCGAAAGGAATGGACTCCTTGACAAAAATGGCGGTTTCCAAGCGAACCAGGCACACGCCCAATGCACCTATAACATCTCGCTGGGCCAGACAACCAAGACGTGCCCAGAGAGTGACGGGACACCTCAGAAGTCACCCTCTGCAGAGGGAGTGGTTCCACCCGAGTATCTCTGTGATCTATTCTAATTCTTACAGCACAAGAATTGAGGAATAAGTTTCATAATAAAAATACTGTTTAAGAGTAAAATGTATGTTTCACTAAAATCAAACCCTTAAGTTCAAATGTAACAATGAACCAGACAATAGATATTCATTAACTATCTCTCTGAATTCTTTCCTGCTTATTAGACCCCGAATGTGTGGTTCCCGGCCTGGAACATGTTTGGCCACCTAGTTATTTCTCAGAGTCAGAAAAATGAGAATGTCCTTGTGCTGAATTTCTGTAGGTTAACCAGCCTTACCAACAAGCACGTCCAAGTGTGCCGATCACCAGGCTGCTAGGCAGGTCACCTGGCAGTTAACTCCTGGGGGCTGCAGTAGGCAAACAACATGCATCACGGCTTTTAAAGTATTACATGCAGGACTTGACCACTGAAATGGATTTTTGCTACCATCCTGGAGAAAATTCAGTGGTGCACTGAACATAAAAGTATTAACTGTTACTCGGCTGGCTTGAGTATGTAAAATTAGGGAACTTAATTCCTACTGTATTGTGCTTTCTGACTTAGGTAATGTCGTTATGAGGACAGAACACAATGCTGACACTAATTTCAGTAATAGAGAACACACCACACAAAGCACGTGGCATCTGTGGCGGCCACTCACCTGGGAGCTCTTGCCGCACTTGGCGTCTCCGGACACGATCACGACTTGACTCTGAAGCAGGTTCTCCATAAAGGAGTATTTTTCTGTCCATATTGGGAGAGCTTCTCTTTCTTTCAGAAGTTTATAATAACGTGATGAGAACGGCAATCCGTCAAAAGGGTTGAGTTCCAAATCCTCACAGGCCAAAACGCCCTCCTCGCCCTCACTGGAATCGAGGGACTCGGGGAAGTAGCGCTTTTCCGAGGGCGAGTCGGGGCAGGCCAGCTCTTCCCCTTCCATCTTGTCTGCAGGGGCTCAGGCGGCCGGCATCCCACAGTCCAGGTGCCCCCGGGTGGGAGGTCTGCGGGTGCGAGAGCTCAGAGGCCCCGACCTCCAGGACAGCAGTGCAGGCACCAGATGCTGGATCCCTCCAACCGGATCGGCTCCTGCTGCGGGATCTAGTCCGCTGGTTCCTCCCGGTGCTGGCTCACTCGGCACTGTTCACACGCTCAACGACTGTCACTGAATCATGCTGGAGACAGACAGAAAAGCAGCATTAGGTCTGCACACAATTTCACAAGGAAAAGCAGACGTTTGAAACAGCATCGTTTGTTTTTCTGTTAGCTGGTCACTGTCATTTCCACCACCTGCTTAAGGACCAGGAAGCTTTAGGGCAGCTCTTAAGCCAGGTCAGTTGCACTTTTTCCTGGGCATCTTGGAAAGTGATTCCACTGGACCTGGTGCTCTCTGCCTGACCTGTCACAGGCTCCCAGTCTTGACTGACAGTGAATAGAAAGCCACCGGACAGTGTGACCTGAGGCTCATCACGTGGTTGCTAACGCCATTACAAAAGCAATGCTGGACCTAATGAAAGGGGCGATGGGGAGTGTCTGGTGAGTTTCCCTTAACACTGACTACAAGAAAGTATTATTGTTATTTTAATTAAGAAATCCTCTAGTTTAAAAACATTTTTTAAAAACTTCATTTGATATCTGCTTGTGCCAGTTTACAAAGTCCAGGGAGGGGAGTGAATCGTTACTTTTCTCCATCTGAGGCTCCGGCTAGCTTTTACCAATAAGGTCTTTCACTGGTTTTATTAAGCCAGAAATCTCAAAAATATCTGTTGGGATTCCAGGGTCTTCAGCCCAACATATCAGAATCAAGAGGCAGCAAAAGACAACATTTAATTTAAATGAAGGAGAGAAATTACCTAAGAAAGGACAAAACTGACACTGGTGACTCATTCCCTCTGTGCAAGGTAAGGGGACTGCTTTTTCCAATGACCAGTGATTTTTAATATCCAGTCATACTGCTGGAAGTGAGCCCCTTGCACATAAACCAGGTGAAACTTAAAAGACGGAAAAGTCAAAAAGAACAAGTCCTAAAATACAGTTCCTGATATTTTGTCACTAAAATGACTCATTTTATAGTCCCCATGTATTGTCATTGTGGCTTTAGGTTGTTAGACTTTGTGGCTCAAGGGGCCAGATCCTAATCATAAGTAATAAAAGAGAGGCTCTTTTGGTCCAGCCGGCTCCAGGGAGACAGCCCCTCAGGAAACACGTGTTGAGAGCCTCCAGGGCTTGAATTAATAAACCAGGCCCTACACACACACAGAAGGACACTCTGAGGGCAGGACCAGGAGCAGGATGGGATGTTCTATGGTTTGGAAGAAATACCATAAAACAGAAAATATGTAGCTCTTTTATAGAAAGAAAAATATTTACATACTTTGAAGTACATAGTTGTAATCACCTGCATAGAGTTAGTAAAATATTTAATATGAAACTTTATCTCCCAAGCATGTTTTACTTCAATTATACTTTAATTGAAACAACTGACTTATCATTACTGGGACTTGTAACTTTTAGAAGGGTACCTTTTTGTCTGCTTTTGTTTTAATTGGCTCAGAGCGCCCAAAAGCATATTCTATTTGGTTTCTAGTGTCTACTTAAAATCTGTCTTGAACAGGTAAGGTAAAAATTCAGAATTTATCTTAAAAACCTTATTTCTAGACTTCTAACAAGTTGACATTGCTTTGCTTTTAAGTAAGCAAATAAAATTAATTGGCTTTTTAAAACACTCAAAAGTTCACTTTTAACTCAATATTGGTTCATACCAAATGCAGCTTGAATAATCGATTAATTTTTTTAAAGAATCCTAGATCTTATGGTAATTTACAATTTTTAGACTTATGTACAGAAAGACTTCCCAAGCTCAACCAACGTATGTATCATAACATACCACTCCCTACATATGACTTTATAAATCAAATGTTTTATTAGAATTTCAAATGACTGGGCCACAACTCAGTGCTTTTCAGTATTATTTTGATGATTTTTCTTTACTGAATAATATTCTTAAAAAAAACACTTGAGTAAAAGCAGAGTTAATAAAGTGCTAAAATATTAATTTGTCTTATTTATAAAGTCTAGTTAGATATCTGAACAAATGGGTGAGATCCAATAACATCTGAAATTGAAGTTCTCTCTGCCCCAGCCTCAGTGGGCTGCTGCGGTGGCTCTGGGCCTTTGCCCAGGCTGCCCCTCTGCCTAGGAAGCCGCGGCCCTCACACTCCATCTGGCCACTTCCTTCCCTTGAAGAGCAGCCTCGGACCCCAGGAAGTCCCTAGCACACTGTGGATGCTCAAGAAAGGTTTGCTCTGAATCAACGACAACCCTTCATATTTAAGAAGTTCTTTACAGTATACAACGTATGTTCATTCACATCTGTAGTCACATTTCATTCTGATTCTCACAACTTGACTATTAGAAACCATTGCAGGTCTTATTATCTCTAGTTATCAATGAGGAAATGATAGCTCCTGACTTTCCCACGGTGGCACAGCCAGAAGTTAATTAAATCATCCCTGACCAAAGGCTTGCTGTCTTTCCATCAGTACCCTGCATAAATTACCAGGTACACACGGAAAACCCACCAGCAGCAAAAAGGAACCTAGAAGAAGCCTAAATCATGGACTTGGCTCCTAAAACGTTTAAGCGGAGGCACAAGACTGATACACAGAGAATGAGAGAAAATTCTGTAAGAAAGTATAGTTTAGGGCTAAGTGCCACACTGTGCCCTCGGCAGGAGAGAGAAGTGCCTTTGGTGGGCATTAGCCTAACCCTGGAAGACTTTCCAGTAAATGGTCCTCCAGCCGGATGATACTATGCGTGAGTACAAGGGCTGAGCGATGGGTGTTCCTTGATCGGACAATTTGAGTGCAAACAATGACAGGTCTGGAAGACAAGAAAACAGCAAACGTGAACAGCACATGGCTTTCAACATTTGACTGAACTCCTTGGGAGTTTCAGAAAATAACCAAGAAAGAGAAAAAAGTACCCTCACTTTGGTAAAACAGAAAATAAAAGTCCAACCACAAAAATAAAAATTTTGTCCAATTTGTGATAGTAAGGCTGGGAAACAACTAACACATTCATTTGCTTTTAAAAAAAATTATCCAACTTGCATTAAACAATGTTAACTTCCTACCAGAGTTATTTACGCTCTGAATTCCAAGGTGGCCAAGAGATTGAAATGAGAAGAAAGGCTGCCTCTGTCTCTCCAGTTGCTACACTGTCCGTTATCCCCTGGTGATAGTGCTTTTGGTACATTTCCTTAAGCATCAGCAAGATAAACAATGAGGTAACTATTCTATCCAGTGATGAGCCTAGAAACTTTTTTTTTTTTAAAGACTGTTGTTTTCCACTTGACCAATAACATCCAGAACATGCCAGTGAAAAGAAACAGAAAACACAATGGTGGAAAACCCCCAAAGGGAAAACCAATACCTTTACCATTCATCTCAAACCAGTGCCTTCAGCAACTTTCTGACCTCAGGATATTTCCTCTAATAATAAAGCATATTCCTTTATCTGCAGCAATTTCCCTAAAGCTCTCATTCATTCAACAGACACCTGGAAAGCACCTCACTGTCGCAGGTGCTGCAGGGGTAAAGACAATGTCCCTGCTTCAGACATTCACGCCCCCCTGCGAGCCAGTCATTTCTTCCCTAAGTACACTGTCCCCTAAAAAATGTTGCTTTTCACAGTAGCCAAAGTCACCTGATCCCTAAAATATTTCCGCGCCAGGGCACCTCTAGAGCTCCTGAGGAGTTGTCCCTCTGCAGGACGCGCGGCTCAGGCACAGCCCCGCCCGCTCCAGCGCGGGGTCCGCGGCGCTGGGCTCGTCTCTTCACGGGCACCTGCCTGGTCCCGGGCTGTTTGGGGAGATGTGAGCCCACCTCTTTATTTTGTGTTGATAAATGCCAGGTTTTTATCACTGTCTTGCCACTTTGATTACGATGTTCCTAATGAGCATCGCTGTTTGCTTCTTGGATGAAAAGATCAATTCATGACTTTGCTAATGATTTGAAAGCAGGTGCCACAGACGTCTGGTTGACCTCAGACATTCCGCGTAAATCTGCACCATCCCTGTCTTTACATTTCAAGTACCACGAAGTGTTCATTTTCCAACCTGAATCCCACTCTGAGACTTTGGTGATGGATGATGGTCCTGTATATGCCCCACGGCCTGTCCACGCCCACACGTGGAGCTTCCGGCGGGCAGCTCACTGGACAGGCCCCCGGCCCGAGGGGAGCCGGACCCGTGGGACAGAACCAGCCCGAGGGGCGCCTGACCCGGGGGACAACCAGCCCGAGGGGCGCCTGACCCGGGGGACAACCAGCCCGAGGGGCGCCTGACCCG